CTTTGCGTCTGAGAACCACATGTCAAATACCAAGATCCACTCTAGAGAGATTGTCTTGTTTGAAAAGTGCTTTTCTTCTTCTTTTATTTTCAAGATATGAAAACATCAAGTAGAAGAGTTTTGAAAAATATTTGATCAAAAAGTTTTGAAAATATTGCCCCTTTCTCGGTTTCATAATTGAGACGAATCATAAAACTAGAGTTCATTGGACATCAAAGAATTAATTACACTGTTAATCCTTCAATAAACTATAGCTATTTGACAGGTGTCAAGATCAAAGCTATCTTTGGGAAATGGTTTAGTAAGGAAATGATAAGAAAGTCTCAGGTTATTGTGTTTGGTCAATGGTTTGGCCTTCTTATTTCTTTGATGTTCACTGATTTGATGGGGTAGCTTGTATGCTCTTCTACTTGAAGTGTTTTTCGACTCCTAGCCTCCATGGTCACACTCAGATTGTGCGATGCCTTATCAAGGAATTTGTGCGATCGCCTCAGCTGTACAATTTTTTTTTCAAGCCGCCTTTTCAGGTTTTCAACTCGAATCCTCCTTTGGTTTCAAGACTTCATTCAGAATTTACATTTTGAACCCCCCTTTGTTATTTTTCTCTATCATGCATTAAAGATTTTAGAAAACTTTTTTTTTTTGCAAATAAAAATTAATCCTGATGGGCGGGATGAAATCTGAAGATAGTCTCTTCTGTTTAGAAATCCATGTATGATTAGAAGGGACTTTTTAGGGAACGTAATGTAGGCCATGGTTCATGGTTATGAAAGAAAAGGATAAATAGCCCCAAACAAGTGTTTCAAGGTATTGAACCAAGGATCAATTCATTTTGATGTCTTCAATCCTATCTTGCTCAATTTGAATCTGCTCGTATGCGTCTCTCTCTTGATGCTCAAGGATCTTCGAATGAAGTGATTCTGGAATAATTATGCTTGATCAATCTCATAGTTTGAAGCTTGATGCGCCATTTGACTCGGGAGAATCTTTACATGTGCTTCTTATCCCTTTTTTTTGTTTATTTTCTCTTTTCTTCTTTTTTTCTTTTTGATTCTTGTTCTTTGCTTTTTTTTCTAATTTGATTTGATCTTTGCACTTGGCATTTGGTTCACCTTTCGGTATTTTTTCTGATTTTATGTCTTCACTCATGTGAGTAGATTTCTTCCACCTTGCCCCCCAGTGTGGGGGTGATCCTTGGTTAGGGTTGAATCAGAATAAAAAAATATTATAGGCTCAAAAGGGGACAACAAGGGATATATATATACATATATGGATAAATGAAACAAATCCGTTCATCATCTCATACACAAAAGTCCTCGCAGAAGAGATATCCCCAGAGGGATAAATTTTCAGGATTAATTCTATTCACATGAAAAAATGTAATTAATGCATGATATAATTATTTCGAAGTAATTCTCCTTTCTGTTTCATGCTCCCAACATTCCTCAATTACTCAGGCTCATCCTCAGAAGATTGCTTCGAGATGCCCCACATTGTTTATTCTGGTATGAAGGTTCATGTTCAAGTAAACATTCAACGTCTGCAGGTTTTGTTGGTATAAAGATATCAGTGTTGCATCTAAAAAGACGATGGTGTGACTTTATTGACTCAAATGTATCGATATGACTCTTTGTATCTCCATGAATTATTCTGGGTAAAAAAATCGAGGAAGTTTTTAGACAAGATAAGAAAGGTCTTATCTTGCCATATGTCAAAATCTATAATTCTTGAATAATTAAAAGAATATTTAATTCATTTGATATTTGAAGAACTAAAGATTAAAACTCGTTCAATCATTCCACCTTAGAAGGTAGCATAAATTCAGTCGTTTAAACATGAAAAATAAAAAACGTGTTCAAACAAAACAATACTCTCAGTGCAAATGGTAGATGCAATACTCCCTTCTTCGATTATCCATGCCCTTGAATCCATCAAGTTTTGGATCTTGTGCTTCAATGCCTCACAGTTCTCAGAGGAATATACGGAGCTTCCTATGTGGTAAATGTACACCACTTCAACATCGTAGCCCTTAGGATATGGGGACTCTTTTCTCAGATCATCATGGCAGGCTTAGTCCTACAATCAGATGATCAGGCTCCAGCTGTACTGATTTCAGTTTTTTCTTTAATTGTTAAAATCTTACTTCCATGTGGTGTCACGTGACTGAGAACACTGTATCGAATCATCCATGAAGAAATTTAATATTTATGAAAATGCTTAAAATGAAATGTAGATGCAAAAATACATGAAATGCTCGAGGCATTGATCCGAAAACATGTCTGTTATTATAAATAATCTTTATTGGGACAAAAGTGTTTTATATTTTAAGAGACAAAAATATTCTGACAGCTGCTGACATGTTGACTAGTCTTCTGCTTTCTTCTGTCACCGGTTGAATAATCTATCGAACCGCTCCGGCTTCTCTAGATGAACCGTGCAAATGTTGAGTTGCTTTTGTACTGGTCCAAGAAGTCTCGAATGACTACATCTCTGGTATTTGTCTTTTGTTGAACATGTTCCCAATGAATATGTCATTGGAGCCCTCAATTGATAGGACTTATACGAAGTTCATTTGTCTGTTTCTTGAATTCGTCAGCAATGGTCTCCAATTTCAGCTACCATTTTGCCATTGTTGTCTTTGAAATGACTCCCAAGATCAGTAACCTTCATCTTGCCCCTGTAACTTCTGCCAGTCAATTCTTCAAAGATAGACTTTCATTGTGCTTGATGTAGACTCGTTTCATTCTGAGTCCTTTATAATGCAGCAGAGTGATATACTCTTCAATTGTGGGCATCACGTCTTCTGGATTGAATGTGACATATAGTTGCCTTGTAGATTGTCTTTAGCATTTTCATCTCTTGTATTACAACCCCTTTGTCCATTAATGCAAATTATTTATGTTTAACAAACACGTTTTAGTGGATCAACACCCCTTTTGAATGATGTACATGATAAAAAATAAAATAGAATAATAAAAAAAGGAAAATAAGAGGAGAAAAAAAAATTAGTGAGATAAGGATTATAAAAAAAATAATAATGAAAATAAAAAGTCCTACCCCACATGATATCTACCCAACATGCTTATTATTCCTACCCGGACATGATCTCTATCCTGTAAGTTGATTTTGAACAAGTCCTAACCGCATAAATTTCTAGTTCACATGATTTGAACATAAAATGAAGCAGGAAATAATATCAAAGCAGCCTAGGGTTTGAAATGAGGTTTTTTGAGGTGAGCTCTAATTCCTGTAGTCTTCCGGTTTAGGTTCTAAAGAAATGTACCTGAGTTCTCCTTGCTGGTGCCCCATTGGGCTTGCCAGACCCTTAGTCCTAAACCCATTACAGGCTCATGTGGACTAAGTTAAACTCAAGAGGATACATTCCCTTATGCCCGCACGGTGAATAAATTCACACGAAGACATAAGGTATATGAATCCCGAAGGTTACTTGCTAGGCCCGCACGGAGAATAAATTCTCACGAAGGCGTCGCTTTCACCCCTACTTAAATAGGGTTCGGAGCTCGGGTATAGAGCATGAGATGACAATTTTGAAAAATCTGAAAACATTAAAAAACGTTAATACAACTATTTATTTGAAAAATATTCAAAGATAAATAATTGGAATCGAATAAATAAATTAAAATTTAAATTTACCATTTTCGCATAAAAAGACAACCGAAAATTAATTCTGGCCTGACTCACTTACTGTCCCCAGCGGAGTCGCCAAGCTGTCGCGACCGTCTTTCCGTTGGGCCCAGGAATTGGGCTTCGACTTGAATGAGTTGGGTTAGAGTCGCCACCGACCACTTTAAAACAAATTTAGGTGGGTCGGAAACCATCTTACCTGATCTGCGTTGTACCAGAAACGTGTCGGGTTCGGGAGTCGGTTACGGTCAAGGAAGGATTAGCACCCTTGAACCGCCCTTTCGGTACCAATTAATTTATCGGTTGCCTTTAATTGCGAAAATTTAAATTTAAAAATTCAATTCAAATTACTTACCTTCGATTGATTAAAAATTCCCCTCAAAAGCCAATAATATTGTTAGATTGTATAATAAAAAAAAATGGATATTGAATAAATATTAGAAATTATATTAAAAATAAATAAATTATGAAATAATGCTAGCACTTTGTTCCCAGTGGCATACACCCTCTGTTTTGGAAACCTACGTACTAAATCAACAAGTTCAATTAGTTCCCTTATTTTTTATAGTTATCGAGCAGGGCAGTGAATTACCTATAGCTCTTGAAAGATCCAAACTGCCATTGACACGTCCTTTTCTTGATATCACACAACGAGAATCACCAGTATTTGCCGCAAGAAGTTTGATGTTCCTTAGAACTGCTACGCACGTTGTGCTTCCAAAAGTTGGTCCAGAAAAGTCAGAGTGAGGGGCCCTCAACAAACGCTGCACAGGGAGGAACATGTGGATCACTGCACCATCCGGGTTTCTCTTCTGTTTCTTTATGAACTTCACTATCACCCCTTCTCTTTGTCATTTGCCATGTTAACCCTCTATTTGGCTCCAGACCAGGCTATGAAATTTCCAGTCCATACTTCCTCACCAGTTTAATATACTCTTCAGCGTTGAAATGCTCGACCCTGAATCAGCCTCCATTTCATACGTTGGTCTCTTGGTAAAACACCCAAACGCTGCCCCCCGAAAAACAGAATCGATTTTGATAATGCGTCGGAGTAATCGTGGTGGGTAGAATGAACCAAAGGTAAAGAAAAAATAATAATGGAATGAAGAGTAAAAAAATGGAGTTTCATGACGTTTTGAGGTTTTTGGATTTGGAGTCTCGGATTTGTCTCTTGATGGCGATATATGTATGTACTGGGGAGTCACGAGGGGGAGTTGAAGGCTTTGCTTATAATGTGAGTAGCGTCGACAGTGATTTGGGTGTATTTGTCAGTGAACTTCACATGCCTCGCAAAACGTGAACGCACAATTTGATGGTAAACCGAATGAGGACAAAACAGAAATGGAGGACCCCCTTCAATTCCTTCCTCCCCTTTTCTTGACTCGAGCATTGCTTTTAAATAGAAAAAAACAGGAACTGCTTTCAGTTTTTTTCGGCGTCCGTTGCTCTTTTCTGGGCATGGTTTTGTTGGCTAGAAACGTGGAAGGGAGTGCCGTTAGGATCGTGGGGTTGAGGCCACGCCTCATTTTCACTACGCCTCTGAAAACTTCAATGTTGTTGTAGCACAAGGCTAGTGTTCCAATAGCCATGACCTGAGGAATAGCACAAAACCGAAAGATTGACGGAGTACATAAAGCAGACATGTACTTCATGCAATCATCCACATGGATTAAAGTATTAGTGATCATGTCATTCAAGCACTGCACTGCCTTGACCGAGTTTTCTTCGTATTTCAAGTCCTCCAGTTTGTTGACATATTTACTCCAAATCTCACGAGGCCAAAACATTCGAGACTTTGGTATCTCGTTAATATCCTCAAGATAATCTCGGATAATATTCGTTTTCTGAAGAAATAAACCCATTGAATTGGAGAGTGAATCTGGAGCCAAATCTTCTGTGCCGCAGGCATGGAAAAGTTTGGAAAGACCTAATCCCACAAGTCCTGCTACATAGTGACAATATTCATCGTAGTCATCAACCGTTTCAACCTCCTTGCAAATGAATTTTGCCATCCCTGCACCCATTCTTTTCGTAATGTCCTCGATAGCCTCCTGATAACCTTTATCGAGTTCGAGAAAAGCAGTAGATACATGATGAAACTCGTCCATAAGAACTTTGTAGTTCTTTGTACCACATGAAAAGTGCCAGTTGCGATCGTATATATGACGATAAAAGTCCTTGAGGATAGGAACTTTGACATCAGTTGCTACACTAGTGTCATCCTCAACAGTATCCAGCGCTCGAAGAACCAAATAGAATATGCAGATGGCTTTTCTAAGCTCGGTGTCGAGCTGTTGAATAACGAAGGCGAAACTACGAGAGACTTTGTGAAGCATGGAGAAACAAAAGGCCAAGTGAGGCTCCGACGGGATCTTTTTCGCGGCATGCCTCGAAGCCAATTTCAGCTTCAACAATGGATAGAAATCATCCGGGTGTTTCACAAGCGCTCCCAAACTCCCCATAATTGAAGATTTGTTTTGAAATCAGATCCAAAACAACAAAACGAAATCTGGGGTATATGGCGGAAATTTTAAAACTTTTTATCAGAACATGTAAACTTATAAAATCATTTATCACTATTTAAAAATAAAACAGATTTCCAAACTCGTATATAAAACAAAATACAATTACATGCCCTCTAATCACAAATACCATACTCTGCAACCACGCCGGAAGAACTCCCTTACTGAAGTCTATAGATGCACTGGTACAATTGTTTTAACCTGAAAAGGTGAGTAATAGAGTGAGCTTTGGAAAGCTCAGTAATACAGAACTACCAGATGATGCTACATGACATGTAGATAAATGGAAAGCCATATCATTTCCTTATTGAACCAGACCAGACAGCGGTTCCCGATTGAACCGGCCGATCCAATCCAATTTTCAAAACACTGATAAAAAAGGTATAAGGATGAAACTTGAAAGTTTAACTCTTAAGATTCTCAATAAAATAGATTATTATGAGTTAATAACAGAATTCTCCTACTCCCATTGTATGCCCCATTATTAACATTGTGACATGCATTAATATTAAATAATAAAATGACCGAATTTAGTAATTTAATTTATATTTTTTCTACATAATTTATTTTATATATAATTTAATCTATTTTTTAAAATTTGAAATAGTTTATTCCGTTAATTTTTATTTTTTTCTTTTATCATGTTGAATTTAGATTTAATTTTTTAATTTTATTTTAATAAAAATATATTTAGTTTATGTTTTAGATATTACGTGGTAAAGTTTTTAAAAAATAATTAATGTTTTTAAAATAATTACTTTTATGATTAAATAAACAATAATTAATAATTTTTATATAGTATATTAAGTTATTTTTATTATTTCAAATATATATACTTTTATTTATTATCAAAATAAAATTAACTATGAAATAAATAAATAAAATAAAGTTTGATTCAATTTGAGTCCTGCGATTTCTAAAAATATGAATAAAAAAAGAGAAAATAACCTCAGTGACCAAAAATCCCAGATAATATACGATTTTGATCAACTTTTTTTGGATTTGCGAAAATGATCAACAAAATCGCAATGCGATCTCTAATTCGCATTGTGATCTCCACTAACGTAAATTCGCGTTGCATTTCGCGTTGCGATAGTTGAAAATCGCGTTGCGATAGTTGAAAATCGCGTTGCGATTTTCCATTTCGCGTTGCGATTTTCCAGTTCGCGTTGCGATAGTCTACAGTTGTCGTTGTGATTTTCCAAATTCGTTGCGATAGTCTACAGTTGTCGTTGCGATTTTCCAAATTCGTTGCGAAAATCGCGTTGCGATTTTCCAGTTCGCGTTGCGATTTTCCAGTTCGCGTTGCGATAGTCTACAGTTATCGTTGCGATTTTCCAAATTCGTTGTGATAGTTAAGAATTTTTTCTAAAAAGATAGTATCCGCGCGGACGTGTCGAAGACACGTATTACCACGACCACGACCACGACCACGACCACGACCCGAAACGGACGGACCGCGCGAATTAGAGATCGCATTGCGATTTTGTTGGTCATTTTCGCAAATCCAAAAAAAGTTGGTCAAAATCGTATATTATCTGGGATTTTTGGTCACTGAGGTTATTTTATAAAATATTTATTAAATCATAAACTATCTATACCAAGTGACGAAACTAGGACTCTATTATAGTGGGGTTAAAAAATTGAGAGGGCCTGATAAAAAAAATTTATTTATTTTTCAAATATATATATATATATATATATATATATATATAATATTAATTAATACTTAAAGAAATTGGCGGGGCCAAAACTCCCCTTAATCCCATGAAATTCCACCCCAAATCTATACATAGATTTACTTATGAATTATAAATTAGTCAAAAAAAAAAGTGTTTAGATTTTAAAATTTCTTATATCTTCAAAGATCACCTTCAACCAGAAAAGACCTTTGAAAAGATCCTTTCGTTTATTAGAGCCTCCAAGGAACTCATGTCCTCCTAGCACAAGAGTAGTGTAATCTTCAAACCAAATATATTACATAAACAAGACCTCTAATAACCCCAATGATCTATCAGAATGAAATATATGATGTAACAACTAAATTTATTTATTCCATTAACCAATAAGTAGTCATAATGATCCTATGTTTGACTCTATCATCTAGAGTTACAATAAATACCTCATAGCTACAACTGAGACTAATCCCTTAAGGGTACGTTTGGTTCACAGAATGTAAGATTACCAGTGAGAATAAAAGATTATCAGGGAATGTTGTGTTGTATTTGTGTTTGGTTGGTTTAACAGGAATGTAAGATTACCGTGTTTGGTTAAAGGAATAAAAGATTATTGGAATGTATATTTGACCAAATTGTCCTTATTATATATTTGCTTTTTTAACAAGTTGGAAAATATTTATATATTTTTTATAAAAAAATAAATTCATAAAATTTATATAATTTTTTTTTACAAAATTGAAATATAAAAAGGTTTAATGAAAAGGTAAAATTTTATTTTAACCCCTTAACTTCATATAAAATTTTAATTATATATTTTTTTATAAATCTAAAATAGTTTAAGGATAAATTTGTAATTTAACCTTCGTAGAATTTTTATTATTCAATAACATAATAAGGATATTTTTGAAAGAAAAAAAAATTTAAGGGCATTTTAGTCAAAAACGTCGGTAATCCAACAATACCTAAGGAAAGGGAGGTAATGACATTCCCGGTAATATACCCAAAAAAAAATCACTATTAGTAATGTAAAATTACCGGGAATGACATTCCCGGCCAACCAAACGGAGGAATATGGATTCCATTCACATGAAAATCTCACATTCCCCAACCAAACACACCCTTAATGTCTTCTTCATTCTTATATCTCTTTCTTATGTTTTTATCTTCCCCACAAGAATACACAGGTTAACGATCGTTACTTTACCGTTCATGACTTTCCGTCCAATTTAGAAAGATTAGACCGCCAACGTCAGACCATACAAATTTAGTATCATAAACAAAAATAAAAATAATTTAAGTATACTATATAAATATTATTACTTATTTGTTTGAAATATTTACGAAAAACGTTAAAAAATTCAAAAAAGTTATAATTAAAGTTATTTCTGAAAATTAATATAAAAATCAAAATGAAAAAAGTTTATAACTACAATTAATCAAATTAAATTATAATGTTTGAATAGTTTATATTTCATAAGTAAATGCTATAGCGTTTAGATAGTTTATGGTTCAATAAAAAAATTACGATTGAGCAACAAAAATTAATTCAACCCATAGTGTTTAGACTTTTTTATTCATATTTTTAAAATCCACCCCAACTCAAATTGAATCAAATTTTATTTTTTATTCTATAACTAATTTTATTTTGGTACTATAGAAAAGTATATATTTAAAATAATAAAATAAATTAACATTTATATAAGAACTATTAATTATTTTGTTTATTTAACCAAAAATTAATTATTTTAAAAATATTTCTGAATTTTTTAAACTTTACCGCATAATATCTAAAACACATTAATTAAAATTGTTTTTATTTAAAAAAATTAAAATCTAAATTCAACACAAATAATTTAGAAAGATAAAATAAATTGAATTAAATTATCATAAATAATTAAAATTTGAAGAAAAACTATTTTAATTACAGATAACAGAAATAATTTTAAAAAATAAATCAAATGAAAACTTTTAATTTCTAAATTACTAAACCGTTTTACAAAGAAATAAGAAACATTAAATGAAAAGTAAAGAAAAGAAAATTAAGATGAACTTCCATTAACTTACTAGTTAATCAATGATACACGTGTCACAGTATTAGTAGTATCTATTCTAAATACTCTTTAACGATTTAACAATAAACGCTTAATCACTCCTGTTACAGTTGTTGATACTCGAACTCATAACCTTTAAGAACAACAACGGTTTCTTTAACAACTTAGATAAGTCAGTTCATGCAAATACTCTACTCAAAGGTAAACATATGCCCACTGAAAGATTATCATCACTATCTTTTTAAGATAGCGAAATAAAGTTATATAGCATAAAGTCATCATCTTCTTAAGATGTTCTAGTAAACATTCAAGAGTTTTAATAATATATATATATATATATATAGCAAAGATCAAAAGTTCCGATCCCTAAACTAGCAAAGAACTTAAAGAATAGGTTTTTCGACAATTTATTTCCCACTTGTGTTGGCCCCCATTCTTTTTACAGTTTTCACCTGTGATTCATGGGGGCTGTGACAAAACAAAAATGAACGGCGAAGCTTTCAAATAATTACAGAAAACCATGTCCGATAATGTTTTTCAAGGAGCCATCAACCCATCAATAGTGTAGGAAAGAGATTTTGCCCAGTCAGCTTTGAGTAGCAATGTCTGTAGCGTATGCATTATGTTATATCCTGGATCAAGTTTCCTTTGCCAACCCTACATATTTAAACAGAAATGTGGTAATGATTTAAATCAACTATCCAAAACGGAAATAATGATCATACTCGACTAGCCGGACAGATATTTCCACGTCTCAAATGGGTGGTTAACGGATCGACCTGAAATTCCGGATATATGTAAATCGAAGAAAATGATACCTCGAGAACCAATGTTGTGACCATCACAGTGCATACATTGCCGTCGATATTGACTCTGTGACACCTTACTTTCTCAAGGAGTTGCTGCATGCATTCGGCCGGATGGACTAGATCACCCTCTGGGGTACCCCAAAAAGTGAAGGCTTCTTCGACGTCCTGTCGAAACAAGGTATTAAAAAACTAAGCAGAAGATAATTTATACACACAGAAAGAGCGCATCTGTATTCATCACCTCAATAAAAGCCATAGGGTTTGGGCAGTTTTGTTGTTGCGATAGTCTGAGCGTGCACTCTGCTGCAGTTCGTCCATCTCTACGGGCAACAGCCTTAAAAAATTCCAATAAGTTTAGACGGTCACCGTTAGAAAGTTCAGCAGTCATGCCTACATCAAGGAAGATGACGTGCGGCTTTGATTTCAAAAGCCGTTTTCGAGAAGCCTTGTTCTGAGACACCCGGACTAGGATATTGCCTGGATGCATGTCGGCATGAATGAAGTTGTCCACCTGAAAGAAGAAAATTATAAAACTCAACAATTAGGAATGACATACAAGTGTTATGAGAACCATAAGCAACCCAATTAGAAGTGCTTACCAGAAGCATCTTCAAAAGTGCATGAGTTCCGATATGAGCAAGTGCAGCCTTAATCCGGTCATGTCCTTGAAGGTCATCTACATAATACGCGACACTTTCCCCTTGCTCGTAAGTTTCCACTAAAACAGCAGGATGCACAAGTGGATACACGGGCTTAGGAAAAGAAACATCCCTCCACCGTCGGAAATTGTATATAAAGCGGTTCAAATGGGCCGCTTCCCTTGCGAGATCAACTTGAGACATCATGAAAACACCGAACTGTTGGACGCTCTCATCCAATCTTAACCAATTCAGAGTTGGAATGAACCTTGATAACTTTGCCACTGAGTTGATAATCATAAAATCTCCTAATCGATTCGCCAACACCGGGATGTCTAACTTTTACTGCAACTACCATGGGCTTGACCTGCTGACCGGGATAGCGAAATCTCAAAGTAGCCCGGTGGACCTGAGCTATACTTCCAGATGCAACAGGTTCCTCTTCAAACTGCTCAAAAACTTCAGAGAGCTTACGGCCAAATGCACTTTCAATGGTTTCTTTGTGTAGGCAAAGCTATGTTCTGGAGCTTTACTATGAAGCTCCGAAAGCTTGATGCAAAGGTCTCTAGAGAAGAGATCCGGTCGCGTTGCTGCCCATTGACCCCACTTTATGAATGCAGGACCTGCCATTTCAAGTGTGCAAAGCACAACCTCAAGCCACTTTTTCCTGAATCGAGGACCACAAGAATCGGAAAATGGTGCCATTATTATACTAGGAGAGAACAAAACTGTAAGATACAGAGCCCTCACCAGCAATACAACACCTTCAAGCACTGAAAGTAGTAAAGAGGAAACAAGAGCATGTCCACTTTGTGCTTGCAGGGAGAACGAATTCTGCGATGAGTAATACCCTGGCTCTACTAAAGTTCTCTGCGCCAGTGCCACTCGTCCATATGTCAAGCCAAGAACACCGGGAACTATCAGATGCGAGCGAGACAATGCTAAGCTGACTGCTTGAGCAATCCTGCTTATGCCAGGGGATGTATGACGACTGGCGGAACATTTACGAGCAAGCCTTTTCCAAGCAACCTGGGCATGCTGAGCCATCATCACTGCACTACTGGAAGAGAGAAAGGAATGGTTCCTGGCAAAATAACCTCGACACAACCCATCCTTGGCTTTCTGCAATAACAATGGAGGCTTTCCTCCAATGATGAACCTGTAATCGGAGTACAAGCGATATTGTGGCCGGCGCAATCCGATGGTAACAACCGTTCCATGCTTCCTACAATCCGAATGAGTCCTAGTATGGTTTGAAACAGCAGATTGTACAGCTTTCCTAATATTTGCAAATGTCAAAAGTCTGTAATCCAACAATTCTCTCATCATTAACCATGCAAATTCTATAAATCTTAGAAGCTATTCTAAATTTCTTACAAAGAAAGGTAAGCACTCATAACCCAATTGCCAAATTCACAAAACATAACAGCACGAATTCTAATCATTCATTGTGCAATCATTAAACCAAGGGAATCGTTACATTTTATGCACCTAAAACAACAGAAGAATAAGCCTTCTTAGTTCATTGATAGAAATAATAATTTCATCTCTAATATAAAAAAGAGAAATCAAAGCCCTAAAACCCAGGAAACATAAACCCAAGCTAAAAAAAGAAACCCAGAAAAATTCATAAAATGAATCAAAACATATCAAAGGGATCAAGTGATGAACCTGGACATGGCGATACAGAGAAAGAAGGTAAAACGGGGAGCTTTGAAGAGGTTAACGTACGACGGCTGTGAACAACTGAAGAAGCAGCAGAAAACGAAGTTCTTGAATGCATTTTCTCATGGATGATTCCCTTTTGATCAAAAAATAGTGCCCGGGTACATTTTTAATGCCCAAAAGGCCATTCTTTTGCTTACGTGAAAGTAAAACCCGGCGGCGGAGGAGGATGAAGAAGAAAGAAGAGATCTTCGGCTGCTTGAATGGGCCTGATGTTAGAGAAGATGTGGAGTCGGGTTGTTCTGGGTGGGCCTCACCCAGTTGCCTTCTTTATTGGAAAGCTTGGAAAAGGTCAAAAAGCGAACTCCAAAGATTCTGGAAAGGACAAAATATCCTGGAGCTTTTGTAGCTAAATCCGTTAATTCTTCTGGCGCATCGAAAGGCCATTAAAGGTTGAATCTTTGAAGGTCAAATTTGATGGCTAAAGATTTCCAGAACAGTTAAACTTATACCCAAATTCATAAACCATTTTACTATTACATATATAAATAACAAAAGAATTGACCGTCCAGCTCAGTTGATAGAGCGCAAGGTTCTTAATTTTATGGTCGTGGGATCGAGTACCACGGTGAGCAATTTATAATTTGGAGGTTTTCCACGAAAGTTGCTCTTAACCTGGCGTTGGGCAGCCTATTATCCTGTCTCCCCCTACCCCATTACATATGGAATAAGGGTTAGCTAATATATAAATAACAAAGTCAATAATATGCATAAACGTGAACCAATTTTTAAACTCAGAACTCTTTTTCAGTTCAAGTCATTGGTTACGTCTGCTTCTTCCATGGTTATTTCCTCTAGAAGTAACAATCTATGTTCCAAGAGGCCCTAATCGTCCCAAAATGTATCAATGCATAATTTTATAATTTATTGAAAGACAAGATAAATGTATAATTTTATATTAAAATAAATTTATAAAATTTAAAGTTGGCCTCGTTAGTTCACCATGTTGAAACAAGAGGGTTCAACAGAGAATATCAACAGGGGTTGGTTTCAGTTTGATAACGTTTAAATAATGTCTCGAGTCTAAGTTTTTGTACATGCATTCTATCAAAATCAAATGTGTGACACGTGTTGATTTAAACTAGTCAAGACGTAAACTTGAAATCATTAAGGGAAAAAACCCATACCCCATTCTCTAATTGTAAAATGCACCAAGAACTTTGGGGGTAATGGGCAAACAAATAATGCTTGGATCAAGTTTCAATTTTCACAGGCACCCTTAATCTTGATGGGAGACAGACCAGGCCTTCTCGATTGTAATTTACCAAAATTTAGCTCCACAATGAATAGATCAATCAATAATTATGGGAAGTATATAGTACCATACATGTGTCAACAAATAGCGGGCCTAAAAATAATTTGGACGTAGCCAAGGGTCTCCTATAAAAAAGTCTTCCTACGTAACATATTTAGGACTTTGACATTCGGCTTAGTTCAGTGGTTACATTTTCCATATTACTTAATATTGATGTCTGCTGTGAGCATTGGTTTATTAGGGTTTTCAACCGCAATCTACCACGTATTATGGGACGGTGAAAATTATATTATCGACCTGTCCATCCACTATTCTAGTTTTGTCTTCGGAGGATTTGTTTTTGTAAGTTTTTACCTGTTAAATAATTATATTAATCTCAGTCATATCTAAAAAATATATATTTCAAAGCTGGAAACTCAAGAATTCACAAATAAGGTAATAGAAAAATTTTATGATTTATCACTTTCATTATTAAATTCGACTGAATTTGAATAACTTAAGACAAGTTAATTATCATAAACTTGTGAGTTAATTTTTTATATAAAAGATAAAGATCAAACTTAAATTAAATTTACATTATTTCAAACTACTAAAAGTTTTGTTTTTATAAAAGCCACTAATTTTATTGTAAAGGGAAATATTTCGAATTACAATGAAAATTTACAATCATAATAGTAAATTAAGCATATAATTAGGACATTTTTCTAAAATCATTGACACAAAATTAACAACTTAAGATCACGTAAGGATCATACAAGGAAAGATTAAAAAACCTAACAAAAACTCAAATAAGGATAGATACAAACAAATCTAATCACATTGGCAAACGAACCACAAAAGGGGATCAAGCTATTGAAAGACTATCGATAAAATCGTAAATCAGAGTCGAGTGACATGAAAAAACTATCCACGAACGCAAACAAGTATCCAAATCCAAACCGAGGGCCCAAAGATTATTAACCGAGGGCCCATCCAACACTCTAGAACTAAGCACATTGAAATAAGACATCACTTCATTAGAGACCATGTCACTAAGGAAGATGTAGTTCTAGAATTTGTTGATACTTTGCACCATGCAGTGCATCCATGCACTCAAACACCGAATACAATTAGTGCATCGATGAATCCTTCTGTGCATCGATGCATCATGGCTGTGCATCCATGCACGAAGGCTACAACGGCTAGTAACGGCTAGTTTATTTGAATTTAATGAAGGGGTATCGATGCACCATGATAGTGCACTGATGCACCATGTTATGGGAAGCCTTTTGAGTAGAAAAATCATCCCCAAACGGCTCTAAAACTTTTAATTACCAAAAGTTTGGTTTGAAAAATTCAATTTCTAAATGAAAAAAGGGGAGCTTAACATTTTTATATATTTTCCAACAATTGTTAACGATTGATATCTTTTTCATTAAACAATTTATTAAGGGGGAGTTTTGCCAAAAACAATTTTTCAAATGTTTTGTTATATCAAAAAGGGGGAGATTGTTGAACTATATTTAGATATAATAATTTAAGGCAAAATGGTTTTTGGACTTGAATTGAATTTACAAAATGTTTTTGGACTTAATTGAATTTATTCAAAGTTTTAAAAGGTTTCAAAAATAATTCAAAGTCCATTAAATTCAAATTTGAGCCAAAATGCTAAAGGGTGTCAAAGTGCATCCATGCACCCCTGCAGTGCATCCATGCATCCCTGCAGTGCATCCATGCACCTGCACTAGTGCATCGATGCACCATGCAGTGCATCCATGTACTCAAACACTGAATGCAATTAGTGTATCGATGCATCCTTCTATGCATCGATGCATCAAGGCTGTGCATCGATGCATCCTGCTGTGCATCCATGCACGAAGGCTGCAACGACTAGTAACGGCTAGTTTATTTGAATTTAATGAAGGGGTATCGATGCACCATGTTATGGGCAGCCTTTTGAGTAGAAAAAGCATCCCTAAACGGCTCCAAAACTTCCCCAACGGCTATATACAACATCAAACACATTCCAAGCTATAAATACAAGCTAAGGACACTTGAAGAAGCAAGAGAACAACTATCCAAGCAATCAAACACAAGAGAAGAGTTTTTCAATCTTATTTCATCTTTCTCTTGTAAATATTTTGTTCTTGTGAGCTCAATCTTGTAAACACCTACCTTAGAGAGGTTTTCTTGTTTACTTATTTTATCCTTTTGTAAAGGGGAAAGGTTCTAGCTAATCCCGTGTAAAAGCTAGGGAAAGGTTCTAGTTTAGCCCGGAAAAACTAGGGAGTTTGTAAGGTTACTCTTTATCCTCAAAAGAAAAAACAAATTAGTGAATTTGTTGGAAAATCCTTGGTGAGGAGCTAAAGTAGTGGACGTAGACTTTGGTTGAGAAAGTCGAACCACTATAAATCGTTGTGCAATTCTCTATCTTTCAATCTCCTTACTCCCTAAACACAAAACCGTTTCGGCCCCTCTTTGTAAACCATTCTGGTTGTCAATTTGAGCTTCTGAAAATCGCAACAATTGGTATTAGAGCCTAACTCATTAAGAAGGTTTAACCACCTTGAGACGATCCTCGAAGAAGCTCTAACAATTCCCGACACAACCGAGAAGATGGCTTCCACCTCCGGCTCGTTCCACATAGAAGACTCCCTACCAACCGACAAACCTCCATACTTCAATGGAGTCAACTATCATCATTGGAAGAAATTAATGAAGGTATTCATCCAATCCAATGATCTTGATGCATGGGAGATAATCGAGAACGGCTACTCTTCTCCAAAGAAGAATGAGAAGAAGAGGAGTGACAAAGAACGGAAGAAAGCTCAACTTAATGCCAAGGCCATGCACATGTTGTTTTGTGCATTTGGTCATGAAATTTATGAAGGGGTTTCTTCATGTTCAAGTTCCAAGGAGCTTTGGAATAAGCTTGAGGAAATCCATGGAAACAAGAAAGAAGAACCAACAAAGGTGGTGTCTTTAATGGCTCGCGAAGAGCCCGAGGTATCTTCTAACTCAAATGAATTTAATTCATATTCTTTTGATGAGTTACAAGATGCTTATAATAAATTGTATTTGGGATTTGAGACCATGAATTCCAAATATAAGAAAATGATTTCAAAATATAAACAAGAAAACGATTTTCTTTTGAAAGCAAAAATGGATTTTGAAAACCAAAATGAAATTTTGAAAAAGGATTTAGAGCTTTCAAAAATGAAAATTGGAAGTTTTGAAAAAGGAAATTTTGATTTAAAAGTTAAGCTTGAATGCTTAACAAAATAAAAAGAAATCATTTTAAATAATTTATCTAGTTCAATAATGACAATATGCTCACATTGTCAATATCATGGTCATAAGGAACATACTTGTCCTTTGAAGAAAGGAAAACGTTTTAAAATTAGGCAAGTATGGGTTCCGAAAGGAACAAGGGGCATTGAAACTAACGTTCAAGGATCCAAAGCAATTTGGATACCAAAAGCTACTTAAATGTCTCTTGTAGGTGTGTGGGAGCAATGGTGATGAAAGTGATGATATTCAAGATGCTCTAGCCACACATGAAAAAGGAATGGGTAACCTCTAAGCTTAATGCTTTTAATTTTGGTTATTTGGTTGCTCATTTAATTTTAAGCATGCATGAGTTTTGATTTTAAATAATTATGTATTATTTTTAATCTCATGTATGTTAAAAGGAAATTATGATGAACATTTTAATGTCTTAATAATTTTTCAGAATTTTTAGTTCATCATAATGAATTTTGGTCAAAATTGGTTTTAAATGCAAATGATATCTCTCTAACAATTGATATCAAAATTTTCAAAATGCATAACATTTTTGGAAACTTTATGCAAAAGCACTTAATTTTAAACAATTGGTATTAATATCAAATTTCAACAATTGGTATTGCATAAAGTATTTTAGACTTGGATATATTGAATTTCATGTACTACTAACATATTTGTTATTCTTTGTAGAAATTCAATCTCTTTTTAAGTGTCAAGTTC